CTAAAATTCTGTTTTCACTTTGTCATCATGGGGTACTGAGTGTAGATTAATGAGAAAAAAAATGAATTTAAACGTTTGTAGTATCAGGCTGCAACATAACAAAATTGATAAAAGTGAAGGGGGTCTGAATAATTTCCAAATTCACTGTAAGTTAAGACATTGCAAACTTATATAATTCTAGTTTCTAAGAATTCATTACTTATTTCAGATAAACATTTCATTAATATGAAAAGTTGTTTCCAAGCTAAAATGTGTGAAATAATTATTGTAGATGCACACATTTAATTCTTACACAGACTGGTACAGCATTATATTTTATCTGATTAAACCACTTACAATAATAATGTATGTTTGTGATATCATCCTTTTCTTTTTGATAGTATATTGGCTTCTCTCCTGTACTTCCATGCTATCCAGGCTAGCAGATATGGACTGCAGAAACTTCTAGATAAAATCCCTTTGCTGTTGCCTTGTCATCTGCATTTTTTTGCCATAGATCTAATAGCCCTAATATCATCTAACAAGCTCAGAGAAGTCATAAGAAGGAGCTAATTTGTGTTAAAGGAGAATAACTGAAGTCCATTACTCTCCTTCCCTCCCTTACTCTCAAATCTCTCTCTCTCTCACACACACACACACACATATATATGTGATAATATATTAAATAATTGCATTAAAGAAATATAATTAAATTATAAGTTGATCAGATCAAAGTTTTGATATTTGGTTATAGATTACCTGACTAGTATTGGTGGTATCTCGTCTGCCTAGTAGCTCCAGAGAGGGCATAAAGAAGTTAAGCGCCGAGTGTTGCTGGCTAGGATAATTGGGGTGGGGGGACGGTTTGGCTCTTGTTCCCTTTTTGCCTGCCAAAAAGTTTTTGCCATCAGTGAGTTTCACACATGAATTGAGTAGATCTACTTTGGCTGTCTTGCACTTTTATCCCAACAAATGAGTTAAGATTAGGATTATTGATTGATGGTTGACATTTACTTCTGTGAATTTATGTACCCACACCATAATCCCAACAAAGATATAGCATCAATCGATTACATTTGTGACAGCCAAAAATTTTTTGAACATGAGACTTTACACTAGTAGCAAGAAAAAAGAACAAAAGCCACTTTTAAATTCATTTTGGTTTGTTGTTCCTAGTTCCAAATGGATTCTGTATTTCATATTAAAACTGTGTGTGTGTGTGTGTGTGTAAGAGAGAGATAAAATCTCAAATATCTTTTAATAATGATAGGTATTGATTTATTCAGGATGGTCCAAAACATCTCAATCTCTTGATGCTTCTGAAGAAAATGATGGTTGGTCTAGTGCAGAAGATCCACTTAATTCATCAGATGCAGAAGAAGAGGGAAAGGGAGAAAAGAAATTGGTACACTTCCATCTTTATTGTAGAAAGTGTGATGAGTGACATAAATCCACTCACTCAATAAGTAATCATTGATGAAAATGTTTGTGTTTTATCAATGAAAAAATTGTATATAGATTTGAACATTCTTTCTAATGGAACTACTTATTAACATTTCTTAAAGGTTCTGAATATTTAGATATTTGTATGAATGTGAATTCATATACCCATTAGAAAATTGTAACCATAAACCATTATAAAATATTCCTTAGTATAACCGCAAAGACTGCATTTGGGAGCCTCACTATAGAGAAACTAAACTGATACTACTGTTTAATTATGTCCCAAATGTCACCCTATTTATTGTGACAGATCTAATGCTTAGATGATTATTTCTTATTAAGCCAATTGTGGTTTCTCATCTTTGTATTTAGATTCCTGGTAAATACTCTGTTGTGTCCAGTTACGATAAAGGCAACTCAAATGGTCTGATCCTGAACAGTGGAGAGTTAGTTCAGCTGATCCATGAAGGAGCAGATGGTCTTTGGTATTGTATTTAAGACAAAATATATTGAAATACACTTTTGCCCAGTATGTACATACTGTTCTAGATACCTAACTATGGCTAAGAAATCCCGAAGGAGCTTAGAATATTGCCTCCCCCATTATAAAAACAATCTTCCATAAAACTACAACAATATAATATACAGCAAATTAAAACAATTCAATAAAAATAGTCTAGCATCTTGGGAAATTAGTCCAGTTTACAGTTGTGACAACATTTTCAGTGTGTTTCTCACACTGTTTTTTACATTTGATAAAAGTCATGGCCACAGTCACTCAGGAGAGAATTTAGAAGATAAAATATTGTGGGAGATGGGAGAATGCAATTCTGGCTTGTAATCTTATCGCAATAAAAAATCTGGAATGTTCAGGGTGTATAGGACTACATTCCAAGTACCATCTACAGTCAGGTCCAGAAATAATGGGACATCGACACAATTCTAACATCTTTGGCTCTATACACCACCACAATGGATTT